AAATTTTAACGTTCAGTGGAAATACGATGAAAGTAATAACCCAGGTCCTTGTTACTTAGATAATAGTGACTTTTGTACTTTGTTATATCCTAATCTCATTAAGATGGTCGCGCTATGTTGTGAACTGATAGAAATCGGAACGATGGATCATTGGACTCCGACACAGTGACTCAGTGGTAATGTGCTAGCCACGGAACCTTAAGGTCATGGGTGAGCACTGCTGCCAAGTCATTCACTAAGATGAAGCAGCTGTCCATTGCTCCCAGGTTTCCATTGTTTCTCTAACTGATATCAGTTCATGGTGAATACCAACTTCGAAAATTACTAGATCCCCACAAACCCCCAAAATCCCCTCCTGGTCAATAAAAAACAAAAAAAAGTTACAGAGGAAAAAATTATTCTTTTAATGGTTCATTTTCCCAGTTGTACACTCGTAAGTATACAAGTAAAATGGTGAGATATTCTGGACAAATTTTCAGTCATAGATCATACTTAATTGATAGATGTTTGTAGGGTATGAAATAATGTGACGTAGAACGAAATATGATCTCAGTAATTTTTATAAAATGCAGTAAAGAGTCCATTGTTTCATTTTACTGATAACCACATCTTACTTTTCACTGAATCTTATAAAAACTATTGACAACATATCTTGATTCACAAAGTATCATTTCATTCTCTACACATAACTATCCATTAAGTTTTAATTTTGACCGGAAACATCAACACTTCTTGAAATTACTGGGTCCATCGTTAAGCATAAACTGAGCATTTTAAAAGAGTTTAACCTCCCCACCTGTTCAGAATGATATAAAACTACGTCTTGAACGGATCTGTATCTGAATAATCCGAGAACAAAGATATTTGCAGAATAAAATGAGCCCATTTTACTTTATAGCCTTTCATCAGCTGTAAAGCAGTCTACAACTGAAATGAAGTATTATTAGTAGTAATACCGATATAAAATACTTTGAATATGTAGAAATAAATGAAGATTTGAAATCCAGAATTAACAATAAGGTAGTGATTGAGTCAAGGAAACACAGGATTAATAGTTACAAATCTTAATCAGAATCAATGGCAATTTATATCTGATGCGATAGAAAATTCTGGACCTGTGGAGTTGGGGGACAACAAACGGAAATCAGTATAAAAGAAGGAACTGTTTATGAGCTAGTAGATTACGTAAATGCACGAAAAACTAAAGAATCGTTAAGTGGTTAATAGTCAGTGAGTAATTAATGAAGAGATGATACAATCAGAAGAAAAGGGAAGACTTTATACTTATACATGCAAAAATTACACATAGTTACCAAGATAAAGAAGGATTAACTACAGTCTCCTTCCGATTACATTCATTTAAAGTATGTTATGTTACTATTAGTACCAATATTTTATTTCCTCTGTATATTGTTTGCAACTGATGAAAAGCCATGAACTAAAATAAGCCCATTTTATTCTGCAAATGTCTTTATTCGTCTATTGTTTAAATTTGTCAAAGGAACTAAATGCTTGACTGATCAATATTTACCTAGTCGCAAAAGCACGAACTAGGTAGCATCTTAATTCCCTTGCTACACTCAAAATGATTTTTTGCTCCAGTTTATTAAAACGTTATTAAGCTGTGCCTCAAATGTGCTTTTCATATAAACAAAACCTTATAATTTCAGTAGAAATACATTTTTAAGTGTCTCATTATATAACAATATGAAGCTGTCATTCATTGATTTCGTAGTTAAAATGTTAACCCCAGCGGTTGCCAGTTCAAACACTGCTCTACCAAAATTAAAGAAACTAACTGATATTATTTACCCCCATAAACAGAACAGAAGTTAAAAAGTGAATCATGTTCATTGGTTACTAAGGAAACTAGAATTCATATCATGGTTTTATATGCTATTCACTTACTTGAAATAATTGCTATAGTGAAATACAAGTGTTCGGAATAAATTATAATAAGAGATATTCATAACTTTATTGATAACGAGCATAGTATTCATATCTTGTAACAAAACTGTTAGCTGGAATAAACTACTCCGCCCTATGAAATAATAATCATAATCCAAGTATTCGATACTTCGTTATTTCAATGATGCACATACATGACAATAAGCACCTACTCGTTTATACATATACAAATATAACCAAGTTAAAAGTTGAAGTTGACTTCAACTTAGATAATACACCGGACATTAGATCCAAACGAACATCAACGTGATTAGTTATCATACATTTAAGCTGTTGCTGATTATTTCAATACAAAACAGGGTTGGTTTAAAGAAAAACTAGGAAGAAAAATAATACTGATCCACGATCACTATCAACTGGAATCTCGAAATCTATCGAAAATTAAAACAATTTCTCAAATGTTTGGTTTAAATGAAACTACATTTGTATATTTTTCAAATTTATGATTCATTTTACTTTAAAATAATTAGCCTAATATAATGCAAAATTGTTCTGTATATTGTTTGGTGGTTGCTAAATATATAACAAATAGAAAGTTTAACTATCTATCTATCCCCATGGGAAGTGATGAGTTGGACGTCCGAGGGTGACATGGAGGAAGTCGTGCGAGGAGGAAATGAGAGCTTCTGGGCTGTCGTGGAACCAGGTTCAAAAGATCTCAGAGAACAGAGTTCACCGGAGACGTGCTAATGAAGCCCTATGTTCCACTAGGAAACCAAGGGACTAATAATAATCACAACAGATAGTTTAACTAAGTCCTGTATTCCAGTTTACACTTAGAAGTTGGTTAAATGTATACAAAACAATAAAGAAAAACGAATTTTTACACCACTCATTCAGTCATCTTTCAAAACGACCTACACAAAACACTTTTCCTGTCTTAAAAAGTTAACCTCCATCTATCGACTTGGTTTATTATAACTTTAAATTGTAATGAGATCAAATTTATTTTTCCAACCAAGCTATTTTTAGTAAACTGTCATATTAAATAAAACGATTATTGATTTTTCACCTCTGTTTTCTTTTCTCTGGCAAGAAAATTCATTCCGTTCAGTATTTCCATATTTGTGAATTACAGCCATTGGAAAAACAATAACTGTCACTCACCACACCGAAATGAAGGATTGATAGGTGATAGGCATGAATAAACAAAGCAAATAAGATATATATATATATTTATATAGGTTACAAGCTTAATGATTTTTCTGTCTAGAGAGCTGATAATGATACTCAGAATAAAAACGCAAAACAAAAGTTAGTTCAGTGCTTTATAATTAAAAATACTATAAAACTGTGCGTTTGTAGGGATTTTCTCATACCATTTTGTCAAAGCATCAACAACTTATCTCAATAGAACAAATTTTAAAATGCTTGTCTATTGTTCGATGCAGAATGATAACTATAACAGTGAGTTTAAAGGCCACGCTGGCAACTGCTGAAATAACCAATCAAGTTTTGTTATTGCAGCTAGAAAGGTAGTTTTTCATAAAATAGAGTACCCTGATCGGTTATGCTAGAGTAGCCTTTAAAGTCCCTCTAATTATGACATGCTTGGATTATAAAGGATAAAATTGGTGGGACATTAGCTAGGAACTCACTTTTTTTACAAATTCTACCGAACAACTCAAAATACTGTGTTAGTTGTAATTGACCACGGCAACTAGGAGTGACCCAAACTAATACCTTTGTCGAAATACTAATTAATAAATTACTTTGCATTACATGGTGGAGATAGAATCTTCACGAAACCTCTACGTTTTGTTCACTGATGTAGTAATCTATGATGGAGAGCATCACATCTGATTATATTATATAAAAAATATTTCTCTTATGTAAAAATATACGATCAACTATTAATCTCGTACTCAATTTGCAAACGATATCACAGATGGATATGTAGGTTGACCTATGGTAAAGTTATTTCTCTTCACAATCCTATTAAAATCTCATGTTGAAGTAAGTCACTGAATTATCTCATGCACTTTCGGGTGTGATGCAATACATCCATTCCAACCAAGATAAAAATGGCATTTATGGTGGTAATTTGTGCACTAAAATATCTGGTTAATTTGTCGCCATTATGCTGTTTGTTCTTGTGTTCTTACGTTAAAGTGAAAATAAGTCACAAATTGTCTGATTATTATGATTAGTTTTCATCATTATAAGCTCAAGACTTACTTTTAGAGAATACTTTTATTTACTTTATCTTTTGAATAAAGTTGATACAGAGAAAACTTAGTTGGAATGAAAAATTTTACTTTTGAGATGAATGGAAATTTTACTTTAAAGGTATTATTCACCACGGACTGACTGTGGAGTTAAACAGTCCAAAGAGAAGTGAATACCAACTGAAGACCTTGAGTGACAGTCGCGCTAACAGAAAAGGAAACTGTGAAACACTGGAAACCAACCAAGTAACTGACTAGTTCGCCAGGTCATGGATACTTACTGCTGAGAAGTCCCGTTCTAGGACAAAACAGCTGTTCAGTGCACCCAGGTTTGTAATGATTCCCCAACTGATGTCAGTTCATGATGAATAACACCTCCACATATTTTATTCATGGTGAATTCTCTAATAATGGCATAAACTGTAACATATAACCATTGAAAGCGGCTTAAGCTGCCTTGCTTATACTACTGCATTATTATATTACACATGTATTTTCGACCTCCATTGTTGTTTTTATCCAAATGAAGCCACACGTCTTGCAAGCCTCCAATTTTATCTTCATTCAGCATAATAAGCGAGTGAATGTAAATTGACTTGCTCAACTAATAAATTCTATAATTCTTCCTATTTAACAAACACATCTATTATGTTAAGACAGTATTTTCTGCATATAATCATTTCTACATGATTTGTGATGCTAATAATTTATTTTATTATCGAAAAGTATGAAGTAGTTAAGTTATAAATATGTAGTAGATAGAGTGCCTTTTTCATTAAAAGTATTTATTCAACAATATTGTTTCCTTTTAACCAAAACAAAAAAAATGAATCTCCTTTTTTTGCTTGTTTTAAATACTTATAGATTTTCTTTAAATTCGACAACTTTCAATGTAAAAGAAGGCGACAATATAGTGTTCATATGCCCAACAGATACACTAAGAAATCAAAAACTATTCTGGGTAAGTTTACTAGTTTGATCATGCATAATTTATAATATTACCTAGAAGTAAATTAATGTTTGAATAATGATCATTACAGAATACGTTTTAGTCCGGAATACACAAAATTATTGCCAGTGAGAAATAAACAGCATTGAAATTTAACTGCATGTTGTCATAGAAAAATTCTAGGTAGTTCAGACCAATCAAAGATACCAAACATTTGTAACCTTTCCTTTCTTATTCAAATTTAAGCTATTTATATCAATGCTCGAAGGCTTTCACCAAGTGGCGTCATTTCGCCCCTCCGATTCCACCGAGGGATAAGTTTGTTTTCATGTTTCATATTTTGTTTGTGCTTTGAAGTTTCTTCAGTGGTTAGATTTGTTTTACAGGGTAGGGTTGCTAGCCGTATGCCCAACCTTCCCTTTTTACGGGGGCTTAGGACCGGCTAGTAACTAGTGGACTAGTTAACCAGGCGAGGTTAATCATTACGTCAAGCAGGGATAGGACTCAATGCCTCGCAGTGTGATAGCTGCTTGAGCACTTACGTCTCCCCGACAAAAACAATCAAACCAAACCATCACCGTCAACGGGAGAAACTTAATGGAAGTGACCTCCTTCACTTATCTAGGAAGCACTGTTTCAACTACAGGCGGGACGGACGAGGACGTCAAAGTCAGAATCGGAAAAGCAAGATAGGTGTTCATTAGCCTGAAACCAGTGTGGAGATCTTCTGAACTCAGCATGTGGAACAAGATACGGATTTTCAACACCAACGTCAAGTCAGTCCTTCTGTATGGCTCAGAGACTTGGCGCCTCACGAAAGGGATTTCCAATAAACTACAGACATTCATCAACAACTGCTTACCCTGGCTCGCTACTGAAGATCAGGTGGATTGGCAGAAAGAATAAGCAACAAGGAGCTCTGGGAACGAACCAACCAAGAACCTATCGCTGGACAAATATGCAGGAGGAAGTGGAGATGGACTGGTCATACACTGAGAAAGCCGACTGAGGACATCACGTGTCAGGCCCTCGAGTGGAATCCCCATGGGAAGCGACGAGTTGGACGTCCGAGATGAGGGTGACATGGAGGAGGTCGTGCGAGCAGGAAATGAGAGCTTCTGGGCTGTCGTGGGACCAGGTTCAAAAGATCTCAGAGAACAGAGTTCACTGGAGACGTGCTACTGAAGCCCTATGTTCCACTTGGAACCAAGGGACTAATAATAATATATCAATGCTCAGTTGAATAAAGTTGATTGGATTGCATTTATGGAGTGATTTGAAACCAGAGCAACTCAAAATATTATTCGCTGACAGTTCATCATAGTTTGCGCGCCAAGTTACTTGTTAAATATAAAATAAATCGTCATCCGCTAGTTGTCTTAAATGAGGATATTAGATGAAAGCTTGCAATTTCCCCACCAAACATGATTTAGTAAGAGCTAATGTGATTTACATGACTAGATTTTCATACTTTCGACAGTATATATCACCAAATTTACTGCAGTCGAATTCAGACCTCTTAATTACAACTTTAACAAAAAGAAATTTATTTCTTGAACCATTCTTCAACTTCAGATACAACATAAGCTGCTTCTAATCTTGTGAATAAAATGAATTGTAAAGTACAGGGTGAAACTTAGTTTTTATAAACTAAATTATAATTGAAATTTTAATATATTCACCCCATCAATTTATTATAGAGAGGAGTTGGTGACCGAAAAGCTTTAAAAATTCGTTGTTAAATTTTCGTATCAATCATTGTACAGCAAAAGTTTAAGATGTTGACAATAAATGCATAAAATGTATTAAAACATTTCTTACTCCCTTAACAATATCACTTTATTAATTATATTAGACAACTCAGAAAAAACCTTATCCCTTTGACAAAAAATTATTCTAGTCATATATTTTAAAACCAATTTGTATCATATCCTTTTATGCGTAGCATATTTGTGGTAGTAATGCTTTATATTACACACTTCAGGAGTTAGTCTGATATACAAAAGTGGATAACCGCAATACTTTCAACTCTTGCCGTTAGTTTCTTTAACCCAACTTGCTGATTGTATGTAAGGATTCTGTCCGTAACTGTAAAAATAAGTTTTTCTTTTAAAATTTCCTTTCACCAACAGCAGTAAATTTAGTGTCTTTAAGAGATAAGCGGATTGTTTTCCAGCTAACCTGATAAATTTTCATTGTGTACCGATATCTTTAATGAATGTAAACATTTTCTTTTACTATTTCTTCCTCAACACAAGGTAGTCTTAAATAAATACGTGTAACAGTCAGAAATAAAGTTACTTTATTTGTTAAGTAAAAAATGTTGTTGTTTCTGTTTGTCTGAAAAAATAACTTATGAAAATAATGAAAAGCAATAATTTTACAAAGTGAGCCAACATATTTTCGCATTCTCAGTTTGGTTATAATGTCTGGATTTTATACCGCATACTATATGAAACCTCAATACAATGAGAAGATTATATACCACACTCAAAGTTTAGCTGCTTTATCTCGATACAGCGCCTAGTTCTGAAGTCACTATAAAGGCATTTCTGAATGTACACTCATACAAACTTACTTTTTTCTCTAACATAATAATGTGTTAAAATTGAAGAGAACCGATGAACTAAGGTGGAATCTACTCGCAGACTTGAATCCATGTGGTGTACTAAAAGTCAGCAACCGTTTCTTAACAATTTGTAAATTTCCTATACATTTTTTTCACTTTGGAGGTTTGAAGAAATAATTGGGCTAAGTGATGCCTTTGAAGTGAAGATAGGAGTAGGACAAGGTTACCACTTACTGTCATCTAGCATCCCCCTTATTGTAGTCAACTGGGTAATGCAACAAAGTACGGAGAGTGAGAAGATGGGTATTGGCTGGATGGATGAAAAGATCCTAGAATATTTGGATTTCGCCGTCAGTAATGATTTACATCTATTGCCACAGAAGTTCGAAGATCTATAGGTGGAAACTAACAAGTTGGCAGAAGAGGCAGCGAAGACTGTACTGACTTCAGGTGAACTTAGAGAAGACATAGGTGATGAAGGCACCCAAACAACAACAAGATTGACAATAACAAGAACCAATCACCGTCAACGGGAGAAATCTAAAGGTAGTCAGTAAGGAAGGAGTAAGTCAGAGCAGCAAGGACCGGAAAGACAGCAGGACAGGCCTTCAATAATGTGAAATCAATGTGGAGATCGATTGCACTGCACTGCACTCAGCATAAAGCGTGAACCAGATCCGGATTTTCAACATTAACTCAGTCATCAATGCTTCGATGTGATGGTTGAGAGACTCGGCGCGTTAAGGAAACCATTTAAAACAAACTCGAGACATGCCTCACACCAACAGCTGCCGCTTACACTGACGCGATAGCGACTATCAGATGACCAGAAAGAATGAGCAACAAGGAACTCAATCTGACCAGGCAACGAATCGACTAACAACCTATTGCCCAATAAACATGCAAAAGAAAGAGGAGATTGGCTGGATTGGGCTGACCGATTGAGAAGATGGTTTGGTGAAATAAGGCGGCAGACCAGGCCCTCGAGTAGAAGCCAAATGAGAACGACGAGTTGGGCATCCGGGGATGATATGGAGGAGATCGTGTGAGGAATAAATGAAAGCTTCTGAGAGGTGGTGGATCCAGGTTGGGAAGACTGCAGGGAAAAGAGTGAAATGGAGACCTGTTACTTAAGCCGTATATTCTACTAGGAACCCAAATGACAAATAATGATGATAATAATGACAAATGAAGTTTTGTTCACTCTGTGTGACATCATTTGGAGAACCAATGTGAACCAGAGCACAATAGATAACTGTTTTGTCCTAGCTTTATACTTCACTATTATACTTTCGTTGGGCAATAAATCTTTCTTGGTCTACGCACCGATCACTGATTTATTTCCTAACGTAATTCACTTAGTTACATTATGAGAAATCTGGCCGTTTTTGTGGCCATCGCTTACACATAGTGCTTTGCAATAAAACAAGAGTAAATATCATACATTTTATCCATAATATCATTCAATTTGAAGACTATCTAGTGCTTCTTCATGCAAACTGTCAGATATCCTAAATAACATGTATTACGTTATCCAATCAATTTTTAATATATTTCACACGGCAAAGAAGAGATCAGTATTTTGAATCGTTTGATTCAGTGCATATAATAAATATACTATAGACTATTAATAAATAAAAAATACTTTCGAAATAATGACAATGAATCTTCATAGCACGAATAAGTAGCTACATGCCTTTCTGGCCAATATTTTATTTATACAATAGTTGTTGTAAAGTCAACAAAGTACATTTTACATTAATGAACAGTTTTCGTAGCGTTTTCTCTACAACAGTCTCCATAAATGTTTTTCCCTTTTCTTTGCTTCCTGTTGACATTAATAGTTATGTGCTTATAGCCAACACTTCTCATTTTTACTGTTTGTTCTTCTCTTCTATTGAAAACAATTCATTAAAGTGTTTTGAAACTCTTGTACTTGGTTCATTTAGCGACTTACATGTGGGAGATTTATTTGATATCTATGAATAAGGTGCTTGGAAAGTTATTGTCACCTGAGTTTGTGAAGAAAGTTCACAATACGAAACAAGTGACTATAACCAAAAAGCTCTATTTACCCTTGATTTATAAACATGAATCACTAGTTTTTAATTATCACAGCAAGTTCCACGCAACCGCATTCAATTCAACTTTAATGGAATAGCACTTTAAATAATATTCATTTGTTGCAATAAATATTCAAATATTTAACTAGTCACAAGGATGAAAATCGGTGAGCATGGACATGATACTACTTCTCTAACAATGATGACCTACAATGTTTGCCTAATGGTATGCAAGCATACGATTCAGGTGTATATTATTCCTCTTGATGATGAACGGAAAGATATAGTAAATTGAAACCCGTAAACATATTTCGTGAGTTCCAGTCGTCAATATTCATGTTAATAAAGATTAGCAGGGCTAAAAGAATAATCAAGAGGAATGAAACTGAACAATAGCTCAAACAATAGGCAAATAAAGACCAATAGAATTATTAGAAGATACACCTCTGGAGAACTACATATTCTTATCCGTTAGGCAACTGAAATGAACTGTTTCGCTACATATTCAAACATTCAAAGGTAGAACACTGTCAAAATCTGGTTTACTTTCCCCACTAATTGACGGAAATTTATAATGAGAGTGGCAGTACGTAGATGCACCAAGTATGTTTACTGATATGATATCTTTTTAAGTTGATGTCACGCCTAACCATTAAACATGTAAGTCATCTTTTGGTGAAATTCTATCCGGAGAAGATATTTGTATACTAGTGAGCATAGCTGGGCCTAAACACGTTACTTGATAGACAAGCAAGCACAACTTGAAGTGCAGAAATTAGTAACCACAGGAGCATTTTGTGGACATCCTAAAAAACGTATCTTTCAAAGGCTAAGTATTTTATTTTCAAATTTTGACTTATTTTTCATTTAGATTTTATGCACACGAATTATAGATACAGTGAATAATTCATATTAACTTTTTTATGTTACAGACGACCAACAAAGAAACATATGAAGATTGTGGGGAGTCAAGTAATTCACAAATCGTTAAGCTTCTCGACTGCAATCACGACCCAAAGAGTATGGAATTTATTCTCAAAGTAGCTCAGTTTTCAGAAATCCCTTATTCTCCACACTTTCGAGAAAATTACTACGTTTACTTTCTCGGTAGGTCCCTAATATAACTAAGATTGTCTTCAGTTATATGAAACGTAAAATCCTGTAGATATTAGGTGTGCTGAAGTGTTTCAAATTATTACTGAGAAATGAGCATTCACCACATACTAAGTCAAAATTAAGCCTAAAAACAACACTCTAAGTCCTTAGTTTTATCATCTTTTTACATTGACTGAAATTCTGTCAACTAAACACGTCACCCAATAATTGAAAGAGCAGCTATTTCTAATTTTTAACATCATAAGATAACTGAACATGAATGTAGCAGATAATTTTATTTTTGTTTGTGGGCAGAATGTTAGCTGACAGGTGAATTTCACAACATTTTTAGGATTACACATGAAATAAACGTACTACATCCAAGATCGGAAGTTGTTATATGATCATGAAAATGTTTCTATAACGCACAACAGGATAGATGGAATGTGAGTAAAAAAACAGTCGGAAGTCAGTTGTGTTCTGACGTTGGCTGTGTAAGCGTCAAAAATTTACGGAGGAGAAGCTATGACACTAAGTTATACAGTAAATAAGAAACGGAAAATTCCGAAAGTTATATAAAGTTAGATATATATAAAGTTATATCCAGGCTATTAGGTAATTAAAACAACTCAGTCAAAGGAATGGAGAAAATAGTGTCTTAGTAGATAACCACATTTTTGACCAACTATCAGTCTCTCTGAATGTAGAATATCTGAAAGTTAGGCATATTCAGTGCATGAAAAAATTGTTTTTTGTACTATTATGCTGCATTCTAAATCTTTTTTCTGTAGGTATTCGTCAAGAGTTGAAAGTTTTATTTCAATCCATTAGATATCTGTCAAAGTTCGTTGGCTCTCTAACAGTCGTGTTTAATGTAAAATGCATATCAGCGAGAAAGGCAATTTATTCTCCTCAGTTATCTGTATATTATTTGAACAGAATTCTGATATTAGTTCCCAACCTACCATGAAAACTGAGTTTGTCCTGAAGAATGTGTGAATGTTCAACACATGTATGTGCAAGATACGACGGAAAAATGGTAAGGCTATGTTGGCGAATAGAGAGAAATGTGGGCAGCATAAGGAAGAGCAACATGTAATCATAGATATAATGCCATAGAAATGATATTGCTGTGCGACTTTTATGATTTTAGGGTATATTTAAACTTTTATCACTGACTGAATGTTTAAAGTGTGCGATCCTTGTTGGATTTAGATTGCTAGAGAAATATAAGTTGCTGATTTCAAGGAAGAAGAACACTTTCAAATCTCACAATTTATTTCAAATTCCATACTGAAGAAAAAATCCCTGTCAAGGCAGTGAACATAATTTGATCATCAATAAATTATATTTTTCATCCCAAAAGGAGTTTGGGCTAATTTTTAGTTGGCAAACAGACCCTTTAGAAATAAAATTATTACCAGATATCAGATTTTCCTGCTCGGAACTATACCTCCTGACAACAGGATTTATGATAACTACGCTTTGGAGTTCGAAGCGATGGGCAAGGGGTTCGAGACTTAGTGGGAACAACACCACTTCGTACTGAGGTGTGAGTGCATCTAGGATTTATAATGCGTATATAATTACTGTCTATTCGCTGCATGCTTGGAACGTAGCCAAAAATGTTTTTCACACTGAAAGAATAAATCAAACCCTCTATGGCAATTTTTTTCTTATCTTCAGGTCAACGAGACTTGTGCTCTATTTACAATCTTCGAATTGCTGTTAAACTTGTACCAAATTCTCATGTTTCTAGAGGTAAGAATATTCATAAAAGTAACATAACTAAAAACTCAAAAATTAGTTTCTCTAGAAGTGCATATTGTAGAACGTATTTTTTTCAGTCTGATGTACATAACATCATGAAGAATGCATCCCAGTCTAATGAATACTGCCAACCTTTTTAAGATATGTCAAGATGTAGCTAATACATAGCGAGAAGAAACTTCCTGGCTGTAGACTAACGAAAAATCATTTATTCTTTTTATCAGATGATTTCGTCACAACTACGATAACTATGTCTCAGCTGCCTATCCTTCTCACCCTAGAAAGTCTATTTTGCTAAAGTAGTGTTCTATCTTATGAACCAATCAAAAGATTAACCAAAATTTGAGTGATTCTAACAACTTATATCAGTTAGCCTATTTTCGATGATGGTTTGATACCGTCTGAAATGACCAGAACGACCGTCAGATGTTTAAACAACCTCAATTCATCTGGTCATCAATGTTGATTAGTATGGACAGTTTATGATTTTCGTAATCAGCTAGCATCACAAATACAGTTGTCGTACTATTGATAGCAATTACACAAAACACATTTCTTATATACAGAATTGAAATTTCAAAAACAAACAAACCTCTAAGTTACTTTTGGTTAAGAAGTTGAATCGAGTGTACGTCAGGTTAGTCCACCAACTTTGTTTTGGAAGTCCCTACTTAAAGTTATTTCTTAGACAACGAATTGGTTTTAAAAAGTTACTCCTTATTTTGTCTTATAAAATTTTCAAGTGATGCTTACAACATAGGCAATAAAATACTGTCAGATATTCCAAACAGTAAACAACAAGTAGAGTGTGTACTTCAGATATTTATGACCTCGATTTCTGAGTAGTTCTTGAACTACCTATTAAAACGTACCTCATTCTCAAACTTACTTGAAAATCGAAGACAACCATATTATATAAGAGCAAGGGATGCACTTTTCTCAAGTTTATGATAATCGGAATAATCCTATTTGCGAATTATGTAAGGCGTCTAATGTACTTACGGCTAGAAATATTAAAACCAAGTGATTTTATTAATAATCATTCGAGAAATGCATCTATAATTTCGTTGTTATAAATGTTCTTTACTTAGTTGAAGACGTACATTCCAAGCAGAGAAACAGTTTCTTATTAACCAGGAAGGGAATATTTTGTTGACACGTACATCGAAATCTAATGACGAAATAATTGGAATACTGCTAACAGAATGCGACTCTAGAACCAATAACTGTTACAGGAACATCTCAGTCATCTGCTTCGACGATATATATATATATATATATAACTATGAAAAAACTCAGAACAAACACTTTGTTGCTTCTGATGTTATCTTAATTTCTGCATATAGACCTCAAATTTGCTTGTTAAAAGTTAAACTAATAAATAAATAACATTGAACTTTGCATTCAATATTACTTAGTCGTTTACGCAATATAGTTAAACAAAACTCATGTTAAGCGGTGCCATGTACTATCTAAATTTTAATATCTAATTAAACGGAAAACAAAAACTGAAACTGTATTAATTTGCATTTCTTCAGATCACTATAAGTAGTAATTTGCACGTGAACCAATGCTAACAATTTTGTCCAAAAGTCTTATTTCTAAATCGCATTAAGAACCGATTTAACGGCCCTAAGATATATAAGCTGAAGAGAAGGCAACCTCACCTAGTTAACTAGTTTACTAGTTACTAGCCGGTCCTATGTCCGGGTAAAAAGGGAAGGTTGGACTTAGGGCTAGCAACCCTACCCCGTAAAACCAATCCAGTCGCTAAAGAAACCTCGGAGCACAAAGAAAAGAAAGAAAGACATAAATGATGGTTAGCAATGGTATCCTGGACGTGCATTTCGACCTATTTTGCAGTCGTCAGCTGGATTTACCTATCGTGTATTGAGTAATGTCGTTTTTACTGAAACTGTAACCGAAAAATATACAATATCTACTACCAGCGCCCTATCTACTAGGCCACTGACAAGGATCTTAACAGTATTCAACATGTGAAAATCTGAATTTTTCATCCTTAAAAACCTTCTTTAAAAAATTATCTTCAAAGTGACCAATAAGTAATCATTTTCTTACAAGACACCCATATCGTTACTCAAGTCACTATCACTTGATCAAAAGGTGGATTAAGTCGAATTACTTTTTATCCTATGCTGTATGTTAAGACTTCTAGCTTCAACTTATGGGAAAACCTACAGATGAGATTACATAATACCTTGTACTTTGTTCGATAAATCTACGTAACATAATACACTGTTGTTTCATCCGATGTCTTCTAAATTCAAAAAGATCATTCAGGTAATTTACTTGTTCGCATACTTTATACACAATTAGATGTGTGACCAAACTGTCACTGCCACATATGGCATCAATGTATAACCATTTTAAACGTATTTAAAGGTCTAGAACTGAAACTGTGACTGAAACATTTCACTCAATAATTCAAAAAATTTCATTTGTTTCATCTAGTGTATAAACAGGTTGGCACTTTTGGCCACCTAGAGGAAAAGAATACAAGGTTGATCTGCAAATCAACTCATACTGATATACTTCATGAGCATAGTCACATAATAGAAGTATAGAACATAAATATTAAAAGAAACTTCTTTTCATCTTCGAAAGCTGATTACTCGTTTATTAATTTAAGGCATCATGGTGCAACTTTGTTGTTCTGATTTTTTTTATATTTTTCGTCACAGAGTCAAAGATTACAACATCTAAAACCAAAGAGTTTACCAGCAGTGACCAACAGCTTGTCAGTGAAGCTACTACTAATCCGTATAAATTGGACATATCCAGAAATCAGCCGTTATCAGCGTGGGCACGTTACCGATTTTTACTAATACCCGGTTCGCTGGGCTTTCTTACTTTAATTGGAATTCAGGCTGTAATCTGTGCATTATGGCATCCAAAAAGACCTTGCCAGTGCCAAAATTGTTGCACATTAAATGTTGCAAATAAACCCAATAATGACACTGAAGATACAACAGAAATTTCTACAACACCAATAAGGCTGTTAGAAAATTCGTATGTTGAAAGATTTACAGATAATCACAAAAGACATTCACTTGAAACAACTATTAGAACAATACAGCCAAGTCCGAACTGTCAGTTTAAAAATGACCGCTATGGTAGTACTCATAAGAAAAGGTTGTCGGAAATAACTGACTTTGTACAAGAAGAGTACAAAATTGAAACAGATAATCCTGATAAATCCCCACCAACAATACAACTGATTACAAATGGTGATTTACCAATACTAACGATAAATTCTTCACAAACTACGGTACCAAACAACAGTTATATTAATAATAATGATAACAATAATGTACAGTTTTATACATGTCCATATCCCATTGATGGTAACTTCACATGTTTAGTTCCAGTGAAAGTAAACAAACCACCAGATATTTTTCCCACTGAACTGGTCAATTTAGGGAGTGTAATCAATATATCCGTGTAAATTGTGCTCTTTTTGTTACATCTATGTTATTTTTTGTTTCATCATACTGATAATATCAATCACTAATAATTATGACCATGATTCTCATCATTATTCTTGTATTTAACAAAATGATGTATTTTATTCACTTGTGATTTTTATGCAAGAAAGGCTGTGACTACTTGTTTTTACTGGGTACTGATGACTGTTGACTTTTTTTTCAGAATCAGTTAGAACTTGTATCCGCTATCTTATACAGAAACTGCCTAAATAATAAGATCATCGGTATTTCAGTCACACTTATGATTTCATGAAATAACTGGAAACTGAGAGACAGGAAACAATATAATAGTACTCAATTTGATATTCCGTTTTCATAGCAAGATCTTATTTTACGGAAACATATCCATTCACGAATATTAATACCAATCTATGTCGTTTTAGAAAATATACGTTTAAACTTGGGTACTATTTGAATCCAGAACAATTGAACATGGATATCATTCAACAGTTTATAAAATTCAAATGCGAGTGAGAGTTTAGACTAATCATAAGGTTTGTGAAGTTGCTTTTATCTACCACACTCGGAAAGGAATTCAGAAATGAAATGTTATTCCAATCAATGCTATTTTAGTTGTTTACACTATGACTTAGTCTATGGGTAATAAATTAAACAGTTTGTATAATTGTGTTTAGAACAGTGTTTGATAAGTTTTAAGCAAGATATATTTTGCAATATTCCTTGCGTAAAGTAGACATCCAGTTACTGATCAGTTCTTGTCATTAGGAGTTTTAAACTGCTGGCTATGCAGACTTTTAGTACTTTATGTATACACACAGAATGAGACATATAACCGCAGGAAATGAAAATGTATTAATGTTCGTTCCAGTAGGCTAATGGAGATATTGATGTCTTTCGTATGTTAGTTGACTTTCACTTCAGTAAATACCAAATAGACATGATAAACCGCTTTCAGTTGAAAATGTATTCTAAACTGTGTGGGTTCGAAATTCCTCAGTATCTTTTCATGAAAAGCTTTTTTCTCCTGACGTATTGTATCACCGTAAATGCTAAACCACATAGCATAATGTGATAGGAAATTAAATACCTCCAATCTGTGAAAGAGGAAACCAATGTAAATGTATGTTGAAGGTCACTATATATCATAAATTTATAACCTGTACTAAAGTAAATAGCGACGTACGGCAAAATAGCAATCACCCACCCTTTCTACCTACAGCATATGCGACTATTTTATTTTTGTTTCCACTGAGCTAACCGATAGTAACGCAACAAAACATTTTCATGATACAACACTTCTAACTATCTTGGTAATCTGAAACGCCAGAATGCATGATTGATTAATATATGTAGTCAAACAACAAAGTAATTTCTTTCCCTGGAAATGACTAGCAGAAAGGAAGTCTTTTTTATCGCTGAATAGCAATTTTCATTAGAAAGCTGTGGAGACATTTTTAGGTCAGATGAAGTTTTCATCTGGCAACCAGACAGGCGACGACAATGACGATGGGAACTGAGCGATTTATGCTTACGAAACAATATATGTATTCATCCGTGATTAAATCTTTACTCCAGACGTTTTGTTTAATTAACATACGCTTTACTCTTTTATTATCTTTTGAAGTTACCAATTTAATTACTTGCTTTAAATAGCCTATATAAAATGTATGACCACGTCAAAGTTGTTAACTGTGGAGCGTTGAAATTTTGCTCTTCATTTAAAAATTTGAATTTCTGCACACCCTAAAAGGTAACTGCACTTTTCACCATTTTGCCCAGAAGCAAATTACAATAGCAAAGTATTCCAGGTCGACCAATACTCTGCAACTTGAGGATAGCATGCATTTCTATCAAGCATAGTAAATACTATTGTTGATTGGGTTAAAAAACGTCAATGAATAACGAGGACTGTATGAACAACCAAGCAAAAAACCTATCCAATTTAAAAGTAATTAAAAAAAGGAAAATAATTTACAATAACTGTCAAAGACTAACTATCCTTTGCTGACTGAATATTTATGAGACATAAAGCCAGAACCAACAAAGGTTTTTAACGTTTAAGAATAAACGAGTTCCTTCTACCTAAATATATATATATATATATATATATATATATATATATATGAACTAAAAGATGTCATTAAAAACGGAAAAAAGGCAGGCGTAAGCGTTAAACTTGGACTGTGATGCAGAATTACCAACTAAGGATTAGCCAACCCATTAATAATGACTTTAAATGTCTCGTTTTTTAATCATTGCGTTGCAAGTTATTTTTATAAAATATGAAACCACAGCCGCCTGAAAACGCTTGACATCCAAGATTTGATAGTTAAATTTAGTTGTCTCCTATGAGAAAACTAATGCGCTGTATAATATTCAGTACGAATAAACAAAACAGTCATATAATAGCATTTGTTTTAGCATAGATCATTCATATTCATTTCAAACTACTCTGTTCCTGAGCATCTTGGACTTCACTTTCTTGCCTTCCGTAATTGTGACCAGTGAACTCTATGAATGCTTCAATAAAAATCACTGTAAAACTATCTGTTACCGTTACTTTCTCTTATGTTAACACATTAAATACCTTATGAATAAACGGTAATTATCAGCATAGGTAAGAAATGGAGGAAGTCGGGGATAGGCGACATTTAAAATAATCAGAGTGTTCATGATCAATTATTGAATCAAGCCTTACAAAATAACACAATTAACAAATGCTCAGGCCGAATAAGGACTTTAGATAACTGATATTTTATAGGATAAATATCTTTATTCTCATTTGTTGTTTTTACTTGTAAACATTCAATTTCTTCCTCAAAATCTAAATTACTTGAAAAACATACCGCATTCCAAATGTGTAATTTTTTAATCTGAGGGTCTATCACATTGTATTTTTAAAGGCAGTAGATCCTGTTTAAATATTTTATTGATTTAAAGATTTATTCAGATATTTTTCCAGATTGTTATGTGTCAAATTAGGCTGTTTTAACCTTAAATTTATCAATCTCTACTTAGCAAAAGCATAGTGACTACTGACAAAAGATATGACTGGGTCTTTTAAATGTTCTGAGGAGAAAAGAAAAGTCATTACTCCTGTTTTCAATTCTGACTAAATGCAGAGGACCCACCCATAGAGACAAGTAGTATATCGCACCCGAATCAACTTGGTTCGGCAGTATAAAATGAGAAACACAATAAATATTTCTGCAAAAATGTTCATCACTTACGAACTAGTGTCTTTTACGACCGAAAATAAATCTGACTTAACCGCTTAATAACTCGAAAAACATGAGCTCCTACCGAAATTATTTAGTAAGCGCATGTACTGAAAATCCTGGTAATGAAAGTCGATATCAGAATAACAACAGCTAATGAATATTAAGTGATGTAGATTTCTGGCAAAATGTATCAGATTTGAAATCTAAGGATCAAAATAGAAATGACTACAATTAAAAATGTAATAACATTTTTAAACGAAATCTATTTAGAATGTTTTTCGCCATTTAAACATTATAGTTGAAAATAAACTGGTGAGGCTAGACATCTGATTTTAGATCATGATGATGATAACAATGAGAATTTTTACATTATTTATAAGTGTACTAAAGTTAAACAAAAACTATATTTGTTCACAAAGTTTGTCTATCTCTATTTACTGATACTATCAGATAGCTACACTTTATTTCTACCACCAATAGTGCATGCGATTTATATCAATATTTAAAAGTCCCTCCGTATATTATCGTTTAGCCCTAAATACAATAGTTAAATATATATTTTTTTAAAAATTTACTTCTATGTGTCACTAAGCAACTTCCAAGCCATTCTAGAGCGTTTAGTAGAATTTAGTTAAAGAGAAAACTGTCAACTACAGGAATAAATCGTTGGCTTTGAACAGTTTTCACCATTCTGAAATACTAGTTGTTGATACTTGCACCAGCTAGCTGGATTTTCATGTACCTGTAGACTGTCTAAAAGTGGTAATTGTTGTTTTATTATGTCGTTGTAAATGTTTTGAAAAATAAATATGCATTGAGATTATCAACGATATTTCCAGATGTCAGACAGCACATAATACATTCAAGACTTTGTACATGCGTTTCATATCCTTAAAAATAGTTTTCTTGCAAAAATGGTCAGTAGATAAGATCATTCTTTGTGATAGTATTACTTACAGCAAATATTTTTATTTTATTAATAATGTAGTTCATTTTAAACAATAATTTTTAGAGAAAATGAATTTCTTGGTGTCATAATCATAATCCAGTGCCGTTTTTTTGAATGCCTTCAAAAATCAAAATGTCTATCCTAATTAAATCACTGTAAGAATATATTTTGACTGAATCTCAGCATGTTACTGAAAAAGGGAAATACTTTTTTGAATGAATATATTCTGATATGTAAAGGAGTCTTTTCAGCAGAAATTTATCTTTGTAACTGCATCGAGTTTTGTTAAAGATTTTTCACTTACAGAAGTAGAATGCCCATGAGTTAACTAGCATCTTAATTCACAGTGAATCTTTATGTTTGTGAAGCTTCTGAAACGGCCTTCAATGGTTCCCGAAATCAGTTAAGAATTTGATTTAAAAGCACTATTTGTTGATCACCCTTGGTTATCCAAACTTATGAATGAAACAGAATTATTTTTGACAATGGAGATGTATTAATAAAGAGTTTCAATTCATATAAATATATCCCAAGAGATTTTCGGATACTTAATACATCATCTGCAATGAAGAGAATGAAGCGAATAGAACTATTATTTCTGTGGTCTACTACAATTAAATACAATCGCTTTAACCCTTTCGGAACACATGTGGCTTTTAATAACTAAAGTCTAATCGTGACTTACGAGCATTTCAGGACCATAAACAAATAAATTTATCTAGCTAGAATATATTTGTTTATTTGATATATAGCGCACAGTGATACAGTATTATTTACTTGATTACGTTTCGAGCATAAATTATTGCTAATAATCATATCAATGTAATCACACTTCTTTCGATATCTGATTTTATAGTCCTGTCACCTGATTTTTCTTCGTTTTTTTCTGATTGGTAGTAAAGTTTTCCATATCTCTGGTATAGGTGTTGCGTCATTCCTATTACATGTGTTGAGTGTGGATTCGATGAACAAAGATTCAGTAATTAGCTAAACATAGAACAACAGACCCCAATAAGATCAATAAGCTAGAAAAACACTCGGCCATTGCATTATATTCATTAACACACAACCACACAATAGGGTGAGACAAAAACACTC